TAATGTGATGTTGAAGCTTTACAGGAAGCTGATGAAGTCAGGACACGTTTTCAAGGTGCATCTCAAAAGACCAGGAGAGCTTATCCTTTCATCACAGTATGCTAACATTATTTAGTTATGTAACCTACTTCAAGTATAATCAGAATACATTGTGGTGATATTTTTGTGGAACACAACAGATGTAGATCAGGAGTTTTGTGTTTCACCCCAAGGCTTATTTATTCTCATATCAACATACGGTAGGCCAGCAATCCAAAATGCATACGTTTTGTGAAAAATGCTTCAAATCTGTGAGAAATTTGATTTGATTTGATTGAGCTGATGGTGGAGCATCGACTCCACATAATGGTGCAATCTGAGCTTGAAATTTAAAATTTCCAAGTTGGAAATAGTAAACAGGAACAGCCTTAAAATTAGGATTTTCACTCACATCAACATCAAAATCAATATGGCTGCATTCAGCATGAAAGGTTGTGAAAGCAGCCATGAAAGATGTTTATTTTCACATTTGTTACATTGTGTCTCATTAAATCGGTCCCATTTAGAACTGTCCAACAATGCTACAATGTTTGAAATGCTGAGAAATACTTTGATATTAGTGTCCTGATGCTTGATCAGTAAACCAGGTAGAAAAGTGTAACAAGGTTAAGTCAGGTCATGTGGAAGAGGAGGAGAAGAATCCATCCAGAGGATGTGACTTAACCTTATTAGACTTTGATATTAGCTCGTACTGTTAATAATAGTTAAAGAACTGGGCACACCAATTAGCACATTCTACTGGTTTTGTAACTTGCAATGGAAACATGATTAAAGGGATAGTCTGGTCATTTTGAAGTATATTCTATCAAACAGTTAGCCAGTCATGCCATCAGTCACAGAATGTTCAGCAGCCTCAGCACCAACATATACTCAGTCTTTGCTCAGCACAAACACAAATGTTGTTCCGGTAAGGAAAAAAAAAAAAAAAGGAACCATGCATAATTGTAACAGTTTAATATTAATGTGAATTTCTTTCTCACCAGTATGTTGTTTTCTAAGAGAGTCATTTTATAAGCTTGAAAAGCAATTCAAACAGGTCCTTGTTTGGTTAGCCCAGTGGCTCTTAAACTTTTTTGTTGTGCCCCTCCTTTAAACAAAAGAGTTGTTGCTGGATGCAAAACTAATTATTAACAATGTGTGAAAAACTCAAGTGTTCACTACGTGAGCTGATTTAAAATCTAAGCCCATATGAGTGAAATTAGGTCTTATAGGGCAGAGGTCTGTCAGACTGGCAGAAACAAAGGAAAAAAAAAGAGGCTATTTTATGTTATTTTGACTGCATGTGCAATCATTTAAAAAGTTTTGTCTACTCTCCAACAAATTTATATAAAGGCATAACATATTATGAGGGTTGCTATTTGAAAATATCAATCAAAGGACTTTTAGAATACTTAATCAATAAGTAACTGCATGCAGAGACTTCCGGTAAGATGGCGCCCGTGTGCATGGCTTGCAATCCACCTCTGCTGATGGTGTTCGGATTATTTCTGTTTTGTTTGTTTTTTATCTGTGGCATGAATTCACTCCTCATGTATGACAGACAACATCTTCTGGATCTTCGTTTTTCTGTCACTGATGTCGCTTATTTAGACCATTATGAGCGTACCTCTGGAGTTCCGCAGAGGCAGAGCTTAAATGGGGGGTTCCGCAGGGGTCCATCCTGGGTCCCCTCTTATTCTTTGTATACCTGCTGCCACTTGGTGCTATTTTCCAGAAACACAACATGCCCTTCCACTTCTATGCCAATGACTGTCAAATTTACTCCCCCCTAAGACACAATGGTACATGTTCGATTCAACCGCTGCTCGACTGCCTGGCTGACATCAGGGACTGGATGGCTTTAAACTTCTTAAGTTTCAATGAAAAGAAGTCTGAAGTCATGTTATTCTCTCCCAATGACACGATCACAAACCACTGCATCGACCTCTCTGCTCTAACCCTGTCAGAAAAACAAAGAGTAACTAATCTGGGAGTGATAATGGACCCTTCCCTGAAACTTAACAATCATGTAAACAAGATTGTTAAATCATGTTTCTTCCAACTGAGGCGGCTCTAAACTGAAGCCCATATTGTCCAAAAATAACCTGGAGACAGTAATACATGCATTCATTACATCTAGGCTTGATTACTGCAATTCACTCAAGTTTGGTTTCAGTCAGACCTCCATAGCACGACTACAACTGGTCCAGAATGCAGCAGCCCCATTTTTAACCAGTACAGGCAAAAGAGAGCACATTACACCAGTTTTGGCCTCTCTGCACTGGTTACCGGTTCACTTTCGAATCCAGTTCAAAATGCTGATGTATGTCTACAAATCACTGAACAGCCCCCCCCATCTCTCTGATCTGCTACAACCGTATGTCCCACCACGTTCCCTGAGGTCAGCGGACCAGTTGCTCCTCACAGTTCCAGGAACTCGTCTTAAGCGCAGAGGTGACAGGGCCTTCTCTGCAGCAGGACCAAGACTCTGGAACGAGTTACCTCTGCTTGTCAGACAGGCCCCCTCCCTCTCGGTTTTCAAGTCCCGTTTAAAAACCCACTACTATTCAGTAGCTTTCAACACCAGATGATCTGTGTTTTGATACTGTATGCTCCACACTGGTTTGTCGTCATTATCTGCATCGTTTTTATGTCTATATTCTGATTTACCTCATTTTGTATTTTGCTTTGTGTGTTACCTGTTGTTCTGTCTGTACAGCACTTTGGCTGGCCTTGTAGCTGTTTTAAGTGCTTTATAAATAAAGTGGTATGGTATGGTATGGTTGGTAATCATACAGGCAAACAAGACAAAGTAATCAGAATAAATGTAAAAACATACATCCAGCCATCCAGCCATCCATCCATCCATCCTCTTTTACCCACTTATTCCTTTTCGGGTTGTGGTGGTCACTGGTGCCCATGTCCAGCAGTCACTGTGCAAGAGGCGGGGGACACCCTGGACAGGTCTCCAGTCCATCACAGAGACACATAGAGACAAACAACCATTCACTCTCTCACTCACACCTAGGGACAATTTAGAGTCACCAGTCAGCTTAAGACGTTTTTGTTCTGTGATAGGAAACTGGATTACCCGGAGAAAACCCATTTATGCACGGAGAGAACATACAAACTCCACCCAGAAAGGCCTCCCAGCAGGGATTTGATCAGGTGATCGTCTCGCTGAGAGGCAACAGCTCTACCAACTGAGCCACCATGCTGCCTGATAAACTCAGAGTCAGAGTCAGAGATTCTTTATTGTCATTCGCACCTCATGTGGTACATGTGGTGGAGCAAAATTATGTACACAGGGTCCCAGTTACATCCAACAATAAAATGTATAAGAAAAACAGTAATAAAATCTAAGATATGAACTAAGAAAAACATCAACTAAATACAGTGGGGAGAACAAGTATTTGATAGACTGTTGATTTTTCAGGTTTTTCCACTTGCAAAGCTTGTAGATGACTAATTTTTATCATAGGTACTCTTCAACTGTGAGTGATGGAATTTAAAACAAAAATCCAGAAAAATACAATGTATGATTTTTAAATAATTAATTTCCATTTTATTGTGTGAAATAAGTATTTGATACACCAGAAAAATGAAACTTAATATTTGGTACAGAAACCTTTGTTTGCAATTACAGAGATCAGACGTTTCCTGTAGTTCTTGACCAGGTTTGCACACACTGCAGCAGGGATTTTGGCCCACTCCTCCATACAGATCTCCTCCAGAGCCTTCAGGTTTTGGGGCTGTCGCTGGGCCACACGGACTTTAAGCTCCCTCCAAAGATTTTCTATGGGATTCAGGTCTGGAGACTGTCTAGGCCACTCCAGGACCTTAAGATGTTTCCTACGGAGCCACTCTTTAGTTGCCCTGGCTCTGTGTTTTGGGTCGTTATCATGCTGGAAGACCCAGCCACGACCCATCTTCAGTGCTCTTACTGAGGGAAGGAGGTTGTTGGCCAAAATCTCACGATACATGGCCCCATCTATCCTTCCCACAATATGGTGCAGTCGTCCTGTCCCCTTTGCAGAAAAGCATCCCCAAAGAATGATGTTTCCACCACCATGCTTCACGGTTGGGATGGTGTTCTTGGGGTTGTACTCATCATTCTTCTTCCTCCAAACATGACGAGTGGAGTTTAAACCAAAAAGTTCTATTTTTGTCTCATCAGACCACATGACCTACTCCCATTCCTCCTCTGGATCATTCAGATGTCATTTGCAAACTTCAGATGGGCTTTGACATGCGTTGGCTTGAGGAAGGGCACCTTGCGTGCACTGCAGGTTTTTAATCCTTGACGGCGTAGAGTGTTACTGATTGTTTTCTTTGAGACTGTGGTCCCAGCTCTATTCAGGTCATTGACCAGGTCCTGCCATGTAGTTCTGGGCTCATTCCTCACCTTCCTCAAGATCAATGATGCTCCACGAGGTGAGATCTTGCATGGCGCCCCAGACCGAGGGAGATTTTCCGTTATTTTGTATTTCTTCCATTTTCTAATAATTGCACCAACTGTTGTTGCCTTCTCACCAAGCTGCTTGCCTATTGTCCTGTAGCCCATCCCAGCCTTGTGCAGGTCTACAATTTTATCCCTGATGTCCTTACACAGCTCTCTGGTCTTGGGCATTGTGGAGATGCTGGAGTCTGATTGATTGAGTGTGTGGACAGGTGTCTTTTATACAGGTCATGAGTCCAAACAGGTGCATTTAATACAGGTAATGGGTGGAGAACAGGAGGGCTTCTTAAAGAAGAACTAACATGTCTGTGAGAGCCAAAATTCTTACTGGTTGATAGATGATCAAA